TGTCCCCTAAATGAACTCTGGCAGGTTTTAGATTTCAGCTCACTGTTAACTCCTAAGACTCTGACCTGTGAATTTGAGGACAGTTAATTGAGATCTACAAATCAGATAAGGTTGCTGCCTTGGAATGTGTTTCCAATCCTTCTCATTCAGCATCAGCAATAGAACCACTGGCCCCACATCTGAATATCTGATGCTTACCAGAAAGATGTGAAGAAGATAACTGTGTGGTGGTTGACAAGACCACAAACATGGAATCATCCATTAAAAGGAATGAGAAATGGCTGATCAAAGTACAGCACAATAAAATTTGGGACCATTTTTGGCAGCAGAAGGAAAATGAACACAAAACAATAAGACCATTAGAAATAGCAGCAGAATTAGGCCATTCAGCCCTTTGATCAAGGCTGATATATTCCTCAACCCCATTCTCCTGCTTTCTCCCTGTAAGCCTTGATCCCCTCACTAATCAAGAAGTGAATTATCAATGCCTTAAATACACTCAGTGATTGACCTCCAGAGGTAATAAGTTCCACAGATTCACCACCCTCTGGCTGAAGAATTCCTCCTCCAGTTCTAAAGGGTTATCCCTTCACTCTGATCTTGTGCCCTTAGGTCCTAGCCTCTCCTACTAGTGGAAACATCTTCTCCATGTCGACTCCATCCAGGCCTCTGTCCAGTGTTCTGTAAGTTTCAATGAGAACCCCCCCCCATCCTTCTAAACTTCATCGAGAACAGACCCAGAGTCCTCAACTTGACAAGTCCTTTATCCCAGAGATCATTCTTGTAAATCTCCTCTGGACCTCCAAGGCCAGCACATCTAGAACCCAAAACTGCTTACAATATTACAAATGTGATCTGACCAGAGCGTTGTACATCCTCAGTAGTATATTCCTGCTCTTGTATACACATCCAGAGTCCATTTACACAGTGTGCAGGAGTTGGACAGTCGCATGGGAATATTTCCCATCTGTAATGACAACAGGAGATCTTTAAAAAAGGTATCTGCTGACAAGTGACCAACAACAACATTAGCTCTTTTAAACAGCAGGTGGAGTATGCCCTACCTAAAGAAGAACATGGCACATTTTCTCTGTATGCATGCTTCAGGCATGATTTAACAGGGATAGCTACTTCAATGTGATTATGCAATAGGCTGCCAAAAATGCAGAGGTGTGACTGACCCTCAGGGCACTCAAAAAACCAGTGACATATCTTGGAGATAGTAGGAACTGCAGATGCTGGAAGATCTGAGATAACAAGGTGTAGAGCTGGATGAACACAGCAGGCCAAGCCGCACCATAGGAGCAGGAAGGCTGACGTTTTGGGCCTAGACCCTTCAGAAAATTTCTGAAGAATTTTCTGAAGATTTT